AGTTTTCATTATTTTCGACAAATTAATTTTACGAAAAAAAAAGAAAATATAATAAGACGATTTTAAGGAAAATAATGAAACGTCAAATCACGACTACAATAATAACACTTGATCAAATGAATCTCGATAAACTTATTTTTCAAAAGTTAATAAATAATCTCGATCGGGGGAAAGAAAGTTTCCTCGTATTTTCTTGATAGATGGACTTTAAAGGGATCATTGTATAACTCCGAGTAATATTAATTGGATTTGGTAATACTTGCGTGCGTTTGAAAGCTGACGTATCGTAGTGTAATTAAAAACAATTATGTTGACGAACCACGTTATATCTTAGTCTCTGTGTGTGTGTGTGCGTGTGTTAGTCAAGTTACGTGTTATGCAGTAACAATACATCAGGTTCGTCTTATTTAAAACAACTATACCATTAAATCATTGTTATACTATATTATTTTAATTATACTTTTGACAACTCGATTATTGTTTGAAAACTGAATCATCAAAAAAAAAAAAAAAAAAAAAAAGAACAAAAAAAATAATATGAAATTGGAAAAGTTGCAAATTTTTTTTTACCCCCCTCCCCCCCTCCCATATAAAACTACGTTCGAAAAAAAGAAAATAATAGAGAAAAATCTTATTGATCGTAGATGGTATCTGGGTTTTCTCGTACGAATATTTCAAAATTATATTTACGCGAGCGCACACACACGCGGTGTTCGAATTTTCCTCTCAAGGTAATCATACCAACTAATATAAATATAAGAAAAAAAAACGTATCGCAAATAAAATGAAAATATAAACTTTTATCCGTTTCGTTCGAGTAATTTTTTTTCTTTTGACTTTAGTCGAACTCTTTGACAGATCATCGAACGTTATACCTCCATTTGTTTTACTTCTACGATCTTATGAAAAGGAAAAAGGGTTCATCAACTCTTTACCCCCCGAGGTAAAATATATTTACATATTGTACATTTACAAAGCAAATGGAAAAAAAATAAAACTTATCAAAGGCAAAAGAATTTTTCATTAAAAATACGAAGTGTAATTTTCCTCAATTAAATATCATAAAATCTTTAACTCCCCCACATGCCCCCCAGCCCCCCTCCCTATACTCTTCAGGATTTAATTATTATTTAAGTAGTAAAATACACGTTTGTTTGACGAATAATGTTTGAACAAAAAAAGAAATGGATTTGAAAAAAAAAAGAAAAATATAAATAAAAAAGAAAAAAAAAGATACAATAATTTATGAAATATAATATATATATATATATAATTGAGAAATAGATAAAAAAGTAAGCAACAAACCGTATTACGAATCCATTTATTGGCTTGTCCTTGCGGATCAATAAACAGTGGCCATCGTTCAGAGTGCATTACGAGAACAGCATTTTCAACGGATAGAAGGTCCCTTGGTAAACCATCTAATTGCCATCTTCTTATCAGTACTTGATCACCTAACGTTGATATTGGTGTGCAAATTGGTGTATGGGGTACACCCTTATCCATAATTTCGTACCAAGATGTGACAAGAGTTTTCCGATAAACGTCAGTAAAGGGTGTCAGATAAGCTATCGCACCTAATAATCATGTTAAACATCAAGAATAAGGATTTATCATGTTAGATCTTTATTACCAACAAAATAATTTAATGTCACTGATAAGTAATATATACTCTTCAGAATAATGTTTTCATATATTATATTTAAATAATATATAAATCATAATTATCTTTTGATAATGTGACTAATAAAGGAAATATTATATGTTAATCTGGTTAATGTGATTTAATATCAAACGTATTGAAAATCATTTCGAATGATTGATTTTTCAATTTGGTACTTTTATTTGTTAGATTTTTTAAAATTGTGTAATTATAAATATAATGTTATATTATATTATTCTGGTAATAGTTAATTTACTATTATCATGAAAATTTGATTGTAAATAATGTTAATTTTTGTTAAAAATCTGTTACTGTATAAAAAAAGGTCTATCCAAAATTATACTTTAAATTTAATATTAAAGTGGAATTAAATAATATATATATATATATATAATATTTAATGTTAAAGATTCTGAAGAGAATATAAAAACATGATTGTATAAAATATTGTGATGATATGTGTGTATATGATAATAATATTTAAATAATACCGGAAGATAATAAAATATCACCGACGACATTTTTTAATGAAATTTTCATTTCTGACAAAGTTAAAGTCCAACGTAGTTGTTCCTCAGCAAGACCGTCTACAAGTTTAACCGCTCTTGCCATTCTTTCCTCACAAAGATTCTTTTGTTTTTCCAATTCCAATTTTTTATCTTCTTTTTCTTGCAAGGTATCTTTAAGTCTTTGTACTCTATTTTCTACTTCCTTCAATCTATCCATGGCATCGGACAAAGCTTTTTCGGTTTCTATCAATACTTCTTCAGCCTTTGCCAATGCTTCCATCTTTGGTTTTACTTTTAAACTCACAAAGTAATAGTTGTACATAGCGTGAATCCAAAGGCATAGTGAGTGACAGGCTTTTGATACTTGAAGAATCTTTTAAATTATTCATATTATTATATAAATATTATATATATACTAGGGTGAATCAAAAAAAAACTTTTATTTTTTTTTTGGATCTGACACACAAAAACTTGTTGCTAGGCACCTTTAGAAAGTACTCACCCAGTATGGGCTCTTAATTTTAATAGGAAGATCCTCCTCATCGCGGTTTTTTATTTTTTTCTCAGTCCAACAGAAAAAAATTCATACCTCCTCA